GCACCACTGTCAACAAGGTCTGCGCTTCTGGCCTGAAGGCCATCATTCTCGGTGCCCAGACTATCATGACCGGAAATGCCGATATCGTTGTCGCCGGTGGAACTGAGTCCATGTCGAACACCCCTCACTACCTACAAACCTCCCGCAGCGGTACCAAGTTCGGCAGCCAGACCCTGGTTGACGGTATCCAGAAGGATGGGTTAACTGATGCCTATGGCAAGCAGGATCTCATGGGCCTTGCGGCCGAGGAGTGCGCCGAGGAGCACGGCTTCAACCGTGCCCAGCAGGATGACTATGCTATACGCAGCTATGAGAAGGCCCAGGCTGCCCAAAAGGCCGGTGCTTTCGACTACGAGATTGCCCCTGTTGAGATCCCCGGTTTCCGTGGCAAGCCTGGTGTGACTATTTCCCAGGATGATGAGCCTAAGAACGTGAGTACATCTTTCTTCTCTGCGTTGGATAATTGTGCCTTTGACTGATCATTCCTTGCGGCTTATAGCTCAACCCTGAGAAGCTCCGCGCCATCAAGCCTGCCTTCATCCCCGGCACTGGAACCGTGACCGCCCCCAACTCTTCGCCCCTGAACGACGGCTCCGCCGCCGTTGTCTTGGTTTCCGAGGCTAAGGTGAAGGAGCTCGGCCTCAAGCCTATCGCCAAGATCCTCGGTTGGGGTGATGCTGCGCACAAGCCCAGCAAGTTCACCACTGCTCCTGCTTTGGCTATCCCCAAGGCCCTGAAGCACGCCGGTGTGACCCAGGACTCTATCGATGCCTTTGAGATCAACGAGGCCTTCAGTGTTGTGGCTCTTGCCAATCTGAAGCTTCTTGGTCTCTCTGAGGACAAGGTCAACATCCACGGTGGTGCGGTCGCCATTGGACACCCTCTCGGTGCCAGTGGTGCCCGCATTGTGTCTACCCTTCTCGGTGTCTTGAGCGCCAAGGGTGGCAAGCTTGGCTGCGTAGGCATCTGTAACGGTGGTGGCGGTGCCAGCGCCCTAGTGCTTGAGTCTATTTAAAGAGCAAACACTGTTAATGAAAAACGGAGATGTGAAACGACCTTCGATCTTTGCATGTGAAATACCAAGTTCAATTTTGACGGGAGATGCTCGGTGGTTTTCTGCAGATATACCCCATCCTGCAGCGACGAAAATCCGCAGTATCAGTACCTTTTTTTTCGGTATCTAAAATAGTTAACAAGATATCCTTGTGTGTTTATGTCCTACTTTCCCTTGTAGCTTTGTATTCGTCTCGGGTGAAGGCAGAGTCGGGTTTGAGGGCCGAGCTTCCAGCATTTCAATGCCAAGATGCTGGGTTGGTATTCTATTGCCATCTCAATTTCGACTCACTGGTCACAGGAATCTTTGAACCGAGACGATCAACCTCGATGGCCTAATGGTGTCCACATCTCCATACCATTGAGGACCCTACTCAACGTACCGCTTTCAGTGGAAGCCTCTCTATCGCTAGTAGTCTCTCATCAAGGAGCCATACTTCGAGAACTCTTTGGTCGTGCTGGGCAAGGAGTGCACCTTAAGCCTGCACTATTTGTGAATTGGGGTTGTAATGTCAGTATAGGTAACGGATTCTACGCTAATTTTCAGTGATTCAAACTTGTTGCAAAGAGCTAAATTTGACAAATGTTCCCTCATGTCTCACTGTCCTGGACTGTGGTTTACCTCCCATTGGAACCGCCATGATTCGGCCTAAGGTCAAGAACATCACGGGGGAACACCACGCGGGGATCGACGCATGAAAGGCACATCAGGGACTGGGGTTTACCGGACCTATTGTCCCTGGCGATGACTGCTGGATTGGAGCTGATGTAACAGTCCTGGTTGGAGTCATCATGGGCCATGGGTCTTTCATCGGTGCTGGCTCCGCGGTGAAACATGATATACCAGCCTCGAGTGTAGCAGTGGGCAATCCCGCTCGAGTCATCAGGTTGGAATGAAGATAAATCAAGTGTGGGTCATATGCTTCATGGCAATCCCTCGGGATGTAGTAGATATCCACACACTATTCCTGATATGAAGAGAATTGTTGATTGAACAGACATCTAGTGAAAAGAAAGATCGCTTGCTTCGTTAAATCTATCAGGCATTACTATAATCGAGAAACCCCACGGGACAAAAAATTAATGTTCTCAAGCAAAAGCTCCAACAAATGCCATGAGAAGAGCACCACAGGCAACAGACACACAAGCCTCAACACGTCGTCTGCCCTTGAGAGTCTCATAACTCGACTCGCTCAAGAAATCCTCGGCGAGGAGTTCCACCAGACCCGCAAACAGCAAAAGACCGCTGCTAATGGCATTGGTGATGCCCACCATCAGCAGACCTGTTGCGCTGGCAGGATCGTAGAGATTGTGTAGAACCAAACCGATAGCTTGGCCAAGGGGAGTTGTCGTTCCGTATGCCAGTGACATTAGCCATGGTTTCGTGGAATTTGGAGCGAAGAGATCCGGTATAAGCGATGCAATCCGAGACCCCAGGGCGAAACCTTCAAAGGTCTGATGAAAACTGATCGCAATTAGCAGGACGACAAAGGAAGTACCAGTTGCAACACTAAGCGCCATGCCGATGAAGATGCTGTGAAACAAAATGCCAGCTTCCAAGAGGAGGCATTGCAGAAGCTGCCGTTGCGGATTCAGGATTGGTCCATCTGTATCGGTCTGCTGTTGGTGGCTTTCGCTTACACGGGGTCGATGCCGGCGGACAGGCCGTGGCTGCGCAGAATGCGCAGCCTGCCCATTGATTAGTCCGTCGTCATCCATGTAGTCATCCAGTCCATCAAGGTCATCCCCGTCGTCTTCTTTATCTAGCGATGAGTCCGCCAGGTGAAGACGGTCCGGTTCATGGAACGAGCCGAAAGGTCTCGTCGTCCTCAACTTGGAGTTGTGCCCCATGCTGTCTAGATTGATATTATCTGAAACCCGCCGGGCCTCTAGCCCCGAATAGTCGACATCTGAAATTTCCCCATCGCTTCTCGAGTCACGCTCAACCTCGCCAATGAGATTATCATATTCGCTTCCGTGCACGTGCTTTGCGCCTTTCATTGCAAAGAACATTTCCACAATAACGACTGCAAAGACCGATATCATTGCAACAAACCCTGGCATAGCACGGTATGTTTGACTCCAAAATCGAGGGAGACATGGATCTGTCAGAGAGACAAATGCTGTGGGGAGCAGATGAACGAATGCCGTCGCAATCAAAACGCCCGTTCCAAAATGTCTCGAGATAAAGAGGAACCGACGGGGAATCGGGAGACGAGGGAAACGGCGCGCTAGAACCGGAAAAGAGCAAGCTGTTGGAGTTTCAGCATTAACAATGGCCAACTTGAGAGATCCGAGAGAAGCCTGTGCATACCGAATGTACTCAGCCCAAGAATGAGGAACAGTGCCATAACATGTAACGGGGTGTTATAATCCCCCCGCTGTTTGGATCCGCATGCAGATGTATCGTCTGAAGCTCCATCCCGCCGAAGAAGTTCTGCTCGCAAGAGGGTATCGGGAATTTCTGAAATTGCGGAAAACGCACGCTTCAAGTCTGCTTCGAACAGAGTTAGAAACCGCTCACGATCATTTGTAAAGGTTGCTGACCTGAAGTTGAATCATTTGCAGTCTGCCAGTCTTGGGCATTCTGCATTTTGTTGTCGTCTCGAATCTGTTGAGCTGTGACCACATCCCCAGTTGGAGAGGGGAATGTTCGTGGGCCGGATAACGTCGAAGAGATATAGGTAGTCACGCAATTGGGCTAAGCCAAAGGTGAGATTGCATAGAATGGTATATCGGCGCGGAATTCAATATCACAAGCATAAGTAATCTTTCAAAAACACAAAGGTCAGGCCGAGGATGGTTTTGGACGCACGATAAAGTGAGTCTTGACTCCGTCCGGCCTCCCCTTCGCTTAGTCAGACACAAAGACCTTCCACGTGGGCGACACGAGTGCTGGGATTTGTGTGATTTAATGAGATGTGAGAAAAGTGAGAGATGTGATATTTGGAATAAAAATATCAGACAGCTGATCCGTGTCCTCTACTTGCTACCTTAGTCCATCCTTTCGTACCTCCGAGTCGCGGGGAAGAACCATCCTCATGGCCTGGTGTCCTCCTAGAACGTGTCTTTAAACTCCTGTCTGTTTCCACCGTTCCGGATTGAGAGGGGATAAAGACCTTGGGGTTTTGCGCAGCAGATGGCCGAGGAGACTTCATGGCCGCATCGTCCCACTCTATTTCTTCTAACAATTCCCATTCTGCACTGGCCATTTCCCCAAGAAGATTGGACTTCAATTTATCCACAATCTTGGTTGGGGTTGGAAGTTTCCACATTCGCATGAATTCAACACCTTCTGATGCTCCCAGGAAAGAATGTGCTGTGCCATGAGAATAATGACCCAACATGGGAAAAGATGTTGTCCGCTGAATCGTGGTTCTAGGAGTGTCTTTGGCAGATTTAATTTGTGTCTGCGTGTCTCGGCCGGCAAAAGCTCGCATCAGAGTTGAAGGATGGGCTGGCGGAGCAACTAGCAGTTGCCACAAGCTTTTCCCAATATCGCAGACTTCCTCCCAAGAATCCGATGAGAGGTTTATCCCTTGAGTTCGACATAACCATGCAACGTTCCATGCCAGGAGGGTTGCTCCTTCAAGAAAGAAGGCGTATGCTGCGGGATCCTCCTTCGCCAACCGGGGTAGAGGCTTATCAATGGAAAGAGGTCGCGGACGTGGTGTATGGTTGCGCGGGTCAACCGTCCTTGATGCAGCTGGACTCGACGAAGACTGGAAGTCAGCTCCATCATGACCGTCACGCGAGCGATATGATGCTGAAGGGGTATAGATTGTGGGCACGGGATAATTTTTGTGGGGCAGCGTAATTTCGGCGGGAAGTTTCAAGGAGAGATAGTGGGACACAATGATCAGAAGATGGGCGATATTAGAAAAAGACGTGGATATCTGTTCTTGCGGAGTACCTGTAATCGCCCTGTTAGCATGACATGAAATTAATCAACTGTTTGGAAGCAACAGGGGAGACTTGCCATTCATATCCCTCAAGTCAACAATAAAACCACACCCAAGAACATATGTCTCCCGACGTTGGCCCTTCTTCGTAGCCTTCCGCAGGCCATAGAGATTGGCGACTTCTCGACAAAGATAAATACGTGACTCAGCCGTTTTGCTATGGAGCGAGTGCCAAACGTGCTCTACCCGCTTGCTGGAATTTTGAACACCCGCCAGGATTCCAGTTTCCCGCTCTTCCAATTGAAATTTGGCAGATTCTGCATCTGACTGTCTGCGTGCTAGAGCCTCTTTTTGCTTGATGATCCTTGCCTTTTTAGCTTCAACCTCTAACTTCAAAACCTCAAGCTGATGGGTAACCAATTCCCTCTTTGTCAAAGACACTGCATGTCGAGTGTCTATCGTTTGGAGGACCCAGCGAGAAGAGCAGGCTTTACTCGTATCGACCAGCTCTTGTCTATGTGAAGAGGGCCTATCCCAGGGGCTGCCGCAGGTAACAGCGACCTCTATTTGCTTTCCAAGTGCTTCTTTCTCCAGAAGAACTTGGGTGCTGTCGATTCGTAGTTGATATAGCTGGTTGCGTGCGCATGTCGGACAGTAGAAAGAAAGGCGGGAATGAGGGGCACGTGAGCATATTGAACAGCTCATCGCAGACAATTCAATTTTAATTTTAGCTGTTCTTTGAGAGCGTAAGGGGCATTTCCATGTTGTGTTCCAAGATAATTATGGGAGCTACTTGAGTCGCCGAGAACCATGTAGAAGAGTGAGAAGGGGTCATCAAAGAGATGCAAAACCCACATGACTCAAATAACGTGCTGATACAAAGGGTATGATCGGCCTCAAGACATCACCTTTAGCCAATCTTTCCTCAGAGAGAGGAGAAGAAGAAAAGACGGGATGATGTGCAGATGCACTTATCGTCACCTGACGCTCCATTATCGCAATCTTATCTCTCACATTGGATAGGAACATCCACGAATCAAAACAAAACCAACTCGAAAGTCCGCTGAAACAATCTTTGGTTTTGATATGGCTTTGTTCTGACACTTCTTAATAACAAGCTAGTCAACTCAACATGCAGTCAACACCTAACAGGGCCAGCAAAATCCCTCGACCGGGGACAATGTCACCCCACGTCAGTCAAGGAAGCAACAGCCCTTCAGGCAATGGGAGCTTCCAAGAGAACAAAAGCCCTCGATCGCCAGTGGATGTTCTTACATCCATTCCTGCCCAATCTGAGATCCCACTTGTCTCTGGGCTGACGCAAGGACTTCAGGACTACAACTGGGAGCAACTCCAGGGTAAATATACCGATGCTATGGAGGAACACGGCCGAGTCGAAGAGAAACTTCGTGTTGAAACAGCCAAGCTTCTTGAAGTAAGTTTAGGAGCACGTTTTACTTGCACTTTCTTGTCTGAGCAATCGGCAGGTTTTTATGGCATGGTCTCAAACTACCGTTTCGCAAGATGAGAACAGGGCTTTGAAAAGGTTCGACTGATTTAGCTTTGGCCCAAGATGTCAATGAGCAAATAGATTTTAACCCTCTATAGGTTCAAGACTCAAATGCAACATGTCCAAAATTCCGAAGTCATTGTGGAAAATAAAAAAAAACACTGTAAGTCCCTTGTTGTCCCTTTGACTTAAAACAAGGTCTGATCGCTCATTTGTCTAAAGATGCGGAAGTGGTAAAGGCTTTCCAAACTGCTCTCGCCTTACTAAACGATCAAATGAAGATTTAAGCACATGATAGACACGATACTTATGAATTATGAGTTTATGTTAACCTATCTCTTCTATCCGGGGATCGATCTTTCAAGACAGGAATTGAACCAGCATGCAAAAGTCGATGTATTATGTATTTCCATACTTAAAGGATGGGTTTAAAAGAGAAAAAAAAACTTAAAGATCACCAGAGTCATTCAAATGGGACTGCTGGGGACACCAATCAACCATGATTGCAAGTAGAAGAGTAACACGTTAACTTCTCTGCTTGGCTCGGTGACTACAAAACTCTGGACTGATCATTTGTAAGGCCTCGGCGATTAGCCTTGAGGGCGTTCACTCCGGGTAGCTCTCCCTATGATGTCTTGCCAGCTGGCATTGAAACGTCTGCCGGTATTGGCCAGTAAGCCTTCCTCCTCGGCTTCTTCTGCATCTTCATCGAGTTGCGCTTCGTCCAGCTGAGGTGAACGGAGAAGAGAAGTAACAAAGACAACCAGATATAAGCCTGTGGCGTCGATGTTAGATCGATGCAAACATGGAATTCTGATGGAGTTGGATTTACCTAGAAAGACGAACTGAGCCCAGAAGAACACCACTCCAAAGAATGGGTAGTTCAGGGTGACCCGGTTCAAGAAGGTGCTCACAACACTGGGTGTGCAAACTTGCTGCGCAACAGGGTTCTTTGCCAGCTCTGAGCATGGCTTGATAAGTTCTTGGCTGTTTGAGCAATCTGGCTTTCCGATGAAGGTTCCCGGGGCACGATCACAGAATGTCTGTTGGCCGAATGTGGCATACTGGGGGGCGACTACCATCGAAATAGAATAATTCAGCGCTAAAATGATCAGCATCAACATGGCAGTCGCTAGGAGCAGAGCCTGGGGAGATGTGTGGCCTTTTCTGATTTGGAAAATATTAATCCATAGGAAGCGGATTCTGACAACAGCGATTCCAAGCACAGAACTGCAGAAAAATAGCATTACAAGCGCAGTAAAAATAGCATAATCGATGGGGAAAAACCTGGCGGATTTAACAAGTGCCCAGTTGACGGGGTTAAAGATGTTAACATGTACGAGGATGTATCCACAACGATGCTTGCAAATCGAGTTCTTGGCTTTGTCAATTACCGTCAAGAGCATGGAAACCCACGTGATGAAAGCAATGAATAGCAGCAAGATGCCTCCCAAGAGCTTGAATGGCCGAAACGCTGCCCCGATTTTGTACCATGCCCTTATCAACCGGCTGCGTCCTTCGCCTTGGGATTCTTCTGCTAGACGTTGACGCCGAATTAGGGTCCTCTCTTCACGCACTAGTGTATCTAGTTCTCGGCGGTCCTTAGAGGACAGAAGCTCAGGATCTCCGGCACATCGTCCCTCGAGCTGCCGTTGCCGCTCTTGGTTTATGTTGAGTTTCTGTGTAGTGCTCGCTCGCAGGGTGGCACTAGAGATTGATGGTGCAGTCTTGATCAAGCTGATTGGCAGAAGGGCCAGTCCCACGGATGTGTACAAGACATAAAAACAGAGCCCAATCGTCATCAACAGACCAAGGGCAAAAGTGAGAGCACGCTCGCCATCTTTTCAAGTTGTATCAGCTTCACAGTTGTGTTCAAGGCTAGGAAACTCGGAGACTCACGGTTTTCAGTCAGTAAATGCCTGAAGTAATCTAGATCCATGGCATTCTTTCCCTGTGACATCGGGACGAAAAAACCAACAAGGAACAAGATCATGACAACTACAACGAATGAGAGTGTGTATTTCAGGGCACCCCAAAGCCGTTGGCCGAGAGTTTGGGCCCCTTCCTCGGTCGCAACCTCGTCACATTCCTCATACCAGAAATATGTGAAGGGGATGACGAGGAGACAGAGCAGGGCATCCAACGAGTAGAGAAGATAATAGATGATAGTCAAAGAATAAGTGATTCTGTCCACCAAATCCTGTGTTGCCCAGTCCTTTCGCTGGCCTAATTTGGACGAAGTGGTCGATGATACCAAAGCGACATCGACAGGCAGCAAGAGCACTGTTGCGAGAAGACTAGCAATGGAGATAATGCAAGTCACAGTGACTGAAGGAGAACGGTCCCGAGGATTTTGGTAGACATAGATAAACACTGACGCCACTGCCAGTAGAATAGCTACCACCGCCCCATACACAACCCAGATGAGGGAAGTCTGAAGGAGTATCATATTGAATTGCAGCAGTTCACACTGTGCACATTGATTGTGAGTTCTGCAACAATCCTAGCAAAATACTGAGGAATCAAGCTATGAATGAGATTGAAAACATATCAAACCAAGAAGGATGATCTTTTCGCTCTTAAGCTGGCGATTGCCTGTGTCGTCATTGATTGTTCAACGTCATTGATGTACAACGCTAACCCATTTCTAGGCACATGCAGCAAAGGGCGGTAGGATTTGTCACGCAGAATTTGTTGACCGCTCAATTCTGCCAGACCAGTCAGCTGACCCGTTGCCATCTCCGCTTTGATTCCGCTTCAAAGGAGCTACAAACTTGACTGCACAAGGTAGAGATCAATCTTGATCTTGATCTTGATCGCTTCTTGTTTTTATACTGGAACCTTCATTTGTGTCATCTCTCTTTGTTCTTACAAGGCTTCAAATTCTCGGTTTTCCGCCCCTAGGTTTGCAATTGCAATGTGCATCTCAGGCCATATCAAAAACACAATTTAGCTCATTGGCAGTTTTCTAGCAGTATCAAGCCTTTCACGAGCTTTGACAGTGGGAAAATTCTTCAAATGCAGTGCTACGCAGAGCTATTACCTCCAACGGGGGTCACCCATGCTTTGGCAATTCCTTTCACCTCAGCAACCGCCAGCAATCTGATTGTTATCAGAACCTCTCTATTGCAGATTTTCTCCCTCGTTAAGATCGTCTCTTCTCAACTGCAGAAGGAAGGCTCAGAGCCTCATGGTTCCCAATTTTCACAACCAGAAACCAAATTAGTACTGGAAAAAGAATACCCGCTATCCGGAACTGTGACCGATTTAAGCCGAGTCAAAATCTTGAACAACAAGAGTGGCGGAGAAGCCATATTGATTGCAGTCCGCAATGCCAAGCTCAGCTTGATTGAGTGGGACCCTGAGCGTCATGGTATCTCAACAATTTCCATACACTACTACGAGCGGGATGATCTGACCCGCAGCCCCTGGGTGCCTGATCTGAGCCGGTGTGGGAGCATTCTGAGCGTTGATCCAAGCAGTAGATGCGCGGTGTACAACTTTGGCATTCGGAACCTTGCGATTTTACCCTTTCATCAGGCGGGTGATGACTTGGTGATGGATGACTACGATTCGGAGCTTGAGGGAGAACGCCCAATTCAGAACTCTGGTGGAGGAGCAGAGCCCAAGAAGAGCAAAGAGGGACCAGCGTACCAAACACCCTACTGCTCGTCTTTCGTACTGCCATTGACCGCCTTGGATCCTTCATTGCTACACCCAATCAGTCTTGCATTCCTATACGAGTATAGGGAGCCGACGTTTGGAATTTTATTTTCCCAAGTCGCAACTTCTACTGCCCTTCTTTACGAAAGGAAGGACGTGGTATTCTACGCTGTGTTTACACTTGATCTTGAGCAGCGAGCTTCTACCACCCTTCTTTCAGTATCTCGTCTTCCTAGTGATTTGTTCAAAGTCGTGGCACTCCCACTCCCAGTAGGAGGTGCCTTGCTTCTTGGCTCAAATGAGATTGTTCACGTGGACCAAGCCGGCAAAACTAATGCGGTGGGAGTCAATGAGTTTTCAAGGCAGGTTTCTTCTTTTTCTATGACCGACCAATCGGACTTGGCGTTCCGCCTTGAAGGCTGCGTGGTTGAACGACTTGGTGGTGATAGTGGAGACCTACTGTTAGCACTTGCATCCGGCGACATGGCACTGATCAAATTTAAACTTGACGGTCGATCTGTCTCGGGTATCACTATTCACCTTCTTCCGGCACACGCAGGTGGTGATATGTTGAAGTCGGCTGCCTCATGCTCCAGTTGTCTCGGAGATGGAAACGTTTTCATTGGCAGCGAAGATGCTGATTCGGTGCTCCTAGAATGGTCGCGTTCATCCGCCTCTACTAAAAAAGCTCGGCTCGAGTCGAAGCAAACAGCCGACGGTTTTGATGATCTGGAGGATGATGATGACCAGATGGAGGATGATGACCTTTATTCCTCGGCGCCTGGATCGACACAAGTCGATAACCGCATGGGAACCGAGAACTTAACCACTGAATTTTATAACTTTCGACTGAAAGATTGCCTTCCTAGCATTGGCCCGCTGAGGGACATCACTTTGGGCAAAGTTTTCTCGAATACGTATCGCGAAAAACAAGCTACATGTGAGGCAGTTTCCGCAGAACTAGAGCTGGTGGCATCTCAGGGCTCAGACAGAGGCGGTGGCTTGGTTGTTATCAAGCGCGAAATTGATCCTTTGACAACCATGTCTCTGAAAATCGATGATGCAGATGGTGTTTGGTCAGCCAGCGTCAAAAAAAGGAGAGGCGCCTCCAGCACAGACAACCCATCCCGTCAATATGTGGTTGTCTCTCGGTCTACGGATTCGGAGCAGGAGCTAAACGAGGTTTTTGTTGCGGAAGAACAAAACTTGAAGCCTTTTAGGGCACCGGAGTTCAACCCAAACGAAGATTGCACAGTTGACATTGGATCTTTCGCAGGTGATACTCGTCTAGTTCAGGTTCTGCGGAATGAAGTCAGAAGCTATGACATGGGTACATTCTACTCCACCCTACTGGCAAGCTTTGCATAAGCTAATGGTGTAACTTTACAGAGCTGGGTTTGTCACAGATATACCCCGTTTGGGATGAAGACACCAGTGATGAGCGCGTGGCTGTAAGCGCAAGCTTCATTGATCCTTATCTTATGATTATTCGGGATGATTCATCAGTCTTGCTTTTGCAGGCGGATGAAAATGGTGACCTCGATGAAGTTCCGCTTTCAACCCTGATAATCTCGTCACGATGGCGCTCCGGATGCCTCTATTACGATAATTCACAGTCATTCAGCGTTGCAGGCTCCTTGTCGAAGAACTCTTCCGAAGGCGAGGTGCTTCTTTTCCTATTGAATCCGGATTATAAGCTATCAGTGTGTTATCGCCAAAAGAAGATTTAGGAATCAGCTCTGACTTGCAATACAGATCTTCCGGCTGTCTGACATGATGTTGATCGCCATCATTGAAGGCGTCGACTGCTTACCTCCTGTATTGTCGACCGAGCCGCCCAAGCGATCTAACACTCGGGAAACCCTAACAGAATTGATTGTTGCCAATCTTGGTGACAGTTCTAGTCTTTCACCTTATCTGATTGTAAGAAATGTTGTCAGTCTGTGACCTTGCTGATCTCTAACTCGAGCCTTCTAGGTTAGAACCGAAAATGATGATCTCGTGTTCTACAAACCAAGCCTAGTCTCGGCAAATTCCGGTCATGGATCGTCTCATCGCCTAAAATTATTCCGAGAGTCAAATCATGTTCTACCAAAAAGCCCTTTGGGGGATGTTTCCTCTCAAAAAAAGAACCAACAGCGATTGAGACCGCTGAGAGTTCTTCCTAATATTTCAGGGTTTAGCACGATCTTTATGCCGGGGGCTTCATCAAGCTTTATCTTTAAAACAACAAAGAGCTTACCGCACATCATTCGTCTTAGAGGAGGCTTTACACGTTGGCTAAGCTCCTTTAATTCGGCTGACACTGGCTGTGACAATGGCTTCATTTATGTTGATTCCCAGGTGAGACTTCTCTTGAACAATTGTGATGCTATCTCCAATGACTAATTCTCTCCATGCAGAGCTGTATCCGGGCTTGTCAACTACCTTCCCAAACTCAATTTGACTATTCGTGGACATTGCGAAAAGTTCCAATTGAAGAGCAAGTCAATTTCTTGGCCTACTCGACGTCTTCTGAGACTTATGTTCTCGGCACAAGCCGCCAAGGAGACTTCAAGTTGCCGGAGGGTGATGAACTGCACCCTGAGTGGCGAAATGAAGGTTCGTAACTGCTTCAAGCGTTTCCAATTATGCTGTGCTAATTCAATCTCAAGAGCTGTCATTCTGCCCGAAAATCCCCGAAAGCAGCATCAAGGTCGTCAGTCCCAAGACATGGACCATCATTGACAGGTAATCCATCCCCCAAAAACAACAAATCTCCGCGCACTAACATCTATAGTTACCCTCTGGACCCCGATGAGCAAGTGACAGCGGTGAAAAACGTGAACATTGAGGTTTCAGAGAATACACACGAGCGGATGGATTTAATCGTCGTCGGAACCGCGATTGCCAAGGGGGAAGACATGCCAGCTCGTGGTACGATCTATGTCTTTGATGTGATCAAAGTTGCACCTGACCCCGAAAGGCCAGAGACAGGCCGCAAGCTCAAGCTGATTGGCAAGGAGACAGTGAAGGGTGCAGTGACCGCGCTGTCTGGTATCGGTGGTCAAGGGTTCATAATCGTGGCTCAGGGGCAGAAGTGCATGGTCCGTGGTCTCAAGGAAGACGGGAGCCTCCTTCCTGTTGCATTTATGGACATGCAATGTTATGTTAATGTCGTGAAAGAGCTCAAGGGCACCGGCATGGTTATCCTGGGAGATGCCGTGAAAGGACTTTGGTTCGCTGGCTACTCAGAGGAGCCATATAGAATGACACTCTTTGGCAAAGACCCTGAATACTTGGAGGTGGTGGCAGCTGACTTCCTCCCGGATGGGAACAAGTTGTACATGCTAGTGGCTGACAGCGACTGCAACCTGCACGTCCTGCAATACGACCCTGAAGATCCCAAATCCTCCAACGGCGATCGACTCCTCAGCCGAAGCAAATTCTACACCGGCAACTTCGCATCATCGGTAACACTTCTGCCTCGCACAGCAGTTTCATCGGAGCTGACCGAATCATCCGAAGAAGCAATGGACGTGGATGAGACCTTCGCCAAATACCAAGTTCTCATCGCTTCGCAAAACGGGTCTTTGGCGCTGGTGACGTCGGTTGCCGAGGAGTCATACCGTCGACTATCAGGACTACAGTCTCAGCTGATCAACACCGTCGACCACCCTGCCGGTCTGAACGCGCGTGCTTTTCGGGCCACAGAAAGCGATGGCGCTGCGGGCCGGGGTATGGTTGATGGCAATCTATTGCGTCTATGGCTGAATATGGGCAAGCAGCGGCAGGCTGAGATTGCGGGCCGGGTTGGCGCGACAGAGTGGGAGATCAAGGCTGATCTGGAGACCATTGGCGGTGATGGACTGGGATATCTATGATGCCGGAAACAGACGTCTTTTCGGTGCTTCAGACTCAGGAAATTACAAAATACGACTCACTGAGTGAGCTAACTCTTGCAATTTGATTACAACATGTCTACGTTCTCCGGAAGATAAGAAGAAAAGAGTGGTCAGCCCAAGATGGGATTTCAATATATGGTATGCTAGAAGAACATAGATAGCTGAAGGTTCTCCCAAGCGGCACCGAAGAAGCCCTATCACGATCCAGTAAATAGCGTGGTATCATAACGCAGTGGGATATAACTAACCCACTATAAAAAGGAGACGAAGAGAGAGAAACCCCCTTTCCTATCCCTAGACCCCAATGCCAATCCCAATCCAGTCCCAAAGTGGGTAATCCAAATCCCATCCAATCCCTTAAACTACCCAAAACAAATGGAATGAAAAAAGTTCAATACACCTCAACACGCCAAATTCGCCATCCTCGCTTTGCACGATTTGAATTCATGAGAATCAAGCCAATGAAGCCATGTCCCTCCCCCCCCCAAATGAGCATCAATATCAGTAACACATTCGGCATGTCAGTTTGGAACCAACCATGTTTTGCACTTTGCATTTGATGGATAAACACAAATCCAAGTCTAAAGAGGCAGTAAATGAAAAAAAAATGCGCAGAACACCTCATCCCAGAGTAACAATGCAGATGCGAGAAGGAAAAGATAAACACCACCCAGCACCATTGCCTCAACATCGCAGTACTGAGGGGTTTAAAACACATCTTCAGCGGCAAAGTACCGTTTGTTCCGGCCTCTAGAGGCCACGAATTTCATCTCCGGCATGTTGGTATGATGTACTACATGCGGTCGGTAGACAGCGTCGACGGGGGCTTGCCAATCATCAATTCCGAGGGGAAAGTACTCATAGAGAAGATCGGTGCTTTCGTTTGGAAAAGGGAGTGATGATGCAAATGACTGGGGCAGGTTGGCAGTCTCAATCAACGGCATGGATGAAGCAACGCTCCGCGGGGGGTTTTGAGGGACAGCATGCGAGAGCTTGCGCATCTTAGAAGGCGGGGCAGATTGGTCGAGACTCAGCGATCGCTGGTGTGACAGCTCGACAGCGAAAGGGGGTACCATCTTTTGGTCAAGATGGAGATTAGGGTCACCGCCGTCTTCCTCGTCTAGCAACGACAAATTGATCGGTGCAGCGACCGCTGTTGTGGAACTGACTCGGCGGTGTGATTCCGTCGCCTGAGAGAGCTGTTCCGGGCTAGACTGACGAAACATGGACTTTGGGACATGAGACATGAGATTGTTTGATGCGGCCTGTAGGATGGGGGTCCAATCCGGCGTTGCTTTGGTTTTCTGCAAAATGTTCGGCAAGGGAGCGGACTTTGTTTCAGGAGAGTTGCTCTGGGCGGCTGGCTTCGTCTTAGCCGGAGTCACGCTGGCACGACGCGGAACGGAGTCGCTTGTTGGCGTGCGGTTCATGGCGGAATTCGATGAGTTGGCCTGGGCATTCTTTCGCGAAACGGCAGCACTCCCACTCAGGGGAAGATCTTTACGCGACTGGAAGTTGCGTGGGCTGCGACCACGAACGATGACGGGACCTGACTGCACCTCAGAGATGGGGATCTTCGCACCAGTAGATAAAGTCGCGACCACCTTGAGTCGGACAACGAAGTGTTGCTGTAGCTCCTTTCGGCGACCATTGTTGGCGGTGGCGACACGGAATTGTAGACGTTTCCAAGCGATAGGAAAGGTTGCGTAGTCCGAATCCAGATCCTGGCCCGTTATGGTGTCCAAGGGAATTGAGGGAGGCTCCTTTTCAATCTTAGCACCTGTACTATGGTTGTTCTCCTCGAGTGCCGTGCCAGAGTTAGCGGCAGCCGCTGAGGGGGTCTTCCATGGCACCGAGATAATCTTCACCGGGTTTCCTTCCACGGATTCTGTGGCTGACACGGTGAGTTCCTGGGCGAGGATGGGAATTCGGTCGCCTTGGTCGGTCATGATATAGCGCATCCCGCGGGGCAAAGTTACCGAACCGGTTATTTGGAACAAGTTGCGACGATAACACGTCAGCTCAGCACCTTGTTGTGGCGGGGCATTTTCCGAAGGAGACGTTGTATAGGGGGACTCGGCAAGTAAGAACATTCCGTGCAACTGCGCCGCCACCGATAAGGAGGTTCGGCGCATAGAATAGTCGAGGAGTGTAAAGTGATATGCCGGCAGTGAAAAGCTTAACAGCTTGTTGTTGTGGTCGATCGATGAGTCCTGGGGTTGTTCCTGAGGCGTTGGGTCAAAGGGCGCCATCATCTCTGTGAAAGGGTCATCGTATGCGGAAGAGAAACGCCTGAGTTGATGTGACAAATTAGAAGGTGCGAAGTTAGCGAGATCCTCACTATAGTATTTTAAATTAGCAACACAATTTCACTGTCGAGCGGAGTGGATGATCCTCCCCCACCCCCCTCGTCCCACTTGGGGATCTAATCACTTACCTGACGAAGGTCTCGGAATCGAAGTTGGAACGGTGATCCGGTAAATCCAGGCTGGACATTGCATTGAGATAGTCGGTACTTTGCAGATTCCCAAGTGACAATGGACTGGCCAAGTATGGTGGCATGGCCATAGTATCGAAGCCCTCCATGGTGAAAGCTAACGCAATTACGGAAGCAGACCCGTGGACGATGCGGGGGAGGAATGATTATCGAATTACCTCTTGTAGAGATATTCGAGCGAGAGAAAGAGAGGAGAGAAGTAAAGAGGAGAGAATAGGAGAGAATAAGGGCGAGAGAAAGAGGTCAGACGAAGAAAGAAGGGCCAAAGATGAGTAGATGACCTGGGGGAATGCTGCAAGCAACGGGAAAGATAGGCTAAGGCGGTAGTGAAGGCGGGGAGGACATTTGAGACGCAAATGGAAATGTCAGGATTGTAATAAAGGGAAGAAAGGGTTCAAAGGGTATAGAGAGGTATTAGAGTGTAGAGAGAAAGAGCAAGTCCCCGGAGAGAGAGAAGAATCTCGACCCAAACGATCAACGGATTCGGGGAATAGTGGAGCCGCGGTTTTTGCGGAGAAACGAAAGCAGCGCTGAGTCAGCTTTTTTTTTAAAATTCTATTTTAAATTCTTTTTTAAATTCTTTTTTAAATTTGTTTTTAAATTTTGGATTTATAGATAGAATTTCAGTTTGCTTAGAGAACGAAAAAAAAAACACTGTTTTGTGTTTGATCTTTAATGGATTTAACATTTTTTTTGATCATTTCGGTTAATCACTGGGACGGAGTAGTACGGAGCATTTCAGACGATCATATCCAATAACACGCAAATCCCTCAGCACCGATGGGGTAAGACTTGATCGCCGGCTCTTGGCAACCATCTTTCACTGTCACTGGGCCCTTAACATCAAGTTGCTATGGTTAATTATTATGAATCCCATCATTGTATGCTGTACTCCATATTTTATACAGATTCTGATACTGGTCTGTACGTTAGATAATCTAAGATTAATAATCAAGTCCACATTTAACGATGTATACCCACCTGCCTATTCAGGTACTGCTGCTTCGGGTCGACCCTCCTAAAAGCGCCACATTTCATTAGAGTTAGCATTGGGATCAGGATGGATATCTATGCTGTCTGTAGCACACGTCTGAATGAATAGACCATCGTCTATGATTGTTCCAGTATTCCAATCCAAATATGTGCCTACAATATAAACATAATTCCATTCTTATATCTCACATTCGCCTCTAAGATGATCATCATCGGCCGCCTGACCTGCAGATGTAGGGGCCAACCGACATCCAATCAGAATATGCGGCGCATTGGACCAGAAAGCGGTGCTCGGTTCTGGACCCTGTACTTTGGCTATTAGCGCCCCACTGAAAACGGCAATGATTCATCTGCACTTTGCAATCTGCAATGTTATCATGCATGTAATATTTTCAAACCAGTACCTCGGTCACCTTGAAGTTGAGCTGTTTGGTCTCAGGTCCGGCGATGTCCGTAACTCGTACTTCAGATACTTTTTTCTCGGTGTGGTATGTAAATTTCCTTATCCAGAGAGAGAGGACTTGTGCACTTTGGTCTTTCGTTCTTAGTTGCCTTGGGGAAATTCTTTTAGACTTGATAAAAGAAAAAAAAAAATCTGATATGGAAGGAGATACAGCCTCCAGGGGGGTTGTCAGACAGCAGAAGACTAGATGGAGTGGCGAGAGAGTAAAAGAGATGCTTACTTTCGCATGTGAACCAATGAAATAGTCCAGTGCATTTACCCGATTTGACTGTTACCATGATCTTCGCTTTTCCCCTTTTCAATTGGCGCATTTCCCGATGCAGCCTACCAAGTATACCAAGGTTCTGACCACGGGAGACATCCACGGTTGAACATCTCTTGTTCCAAGGTTCAAAGGTGGGAAGCTCTTTCCAGGGTACCGAGCCTTTGGGTTTGGGCCTGAAAAGCTTCATGCACAATAACATATCCTAATTATGTACCACTGTACCTAAAGAAGATTTCTGCAATATCCCAGGATCTTAGATCAGGAATGTAGACCTCTAGGATACCGTTAGTTTAGCTCAAAAAAGAAGCTCCGTTTGTACAACTGAGGCATTTTTTAACGCAGACAGAAAATTTAAAATTGATTCAAACTCTCAACTTATAAAACGCATTGGCCCAGGTCAAAGTTAGGCCCCGAGGCCCAAGAAACCTGTTTGAGGATTCTTTTCTTTGATTATAAAAAAACAACATCGAGAGAACTATATCCTTGATATCCTCATTCCCTTTTTATGTCGTATTTTAGAAAAAAAAAAAAAAAGACGAAGGCCAAAAATACTACGCTCTTAACACAGACCCCTGGTTTTTTTTTGGTTTTCTTTTCCCAAAAACAGGTGGGTGGTTTGGTTTTTGTCCTCCGGCGCCAAAGCGGAGTTCCGTTCTCGGCCCACAATGCCCACCAAGCCCCGATAAAGCCCCACCCTGAAGTAAGAAATGTCAGTGCATTGTACAAAGCATAGTACATCTAGTTTAGCCTTCAAGGTCCAA